GGTGAAGCATTCCCCCCTCCCCGTCTCTACAAAAAAATGCAAAAATTAGCTGGGCATGGTGGCACACACCAGTGGTCCCAGCTACTCAGGAGGCTGAGGCAGGAGGACCACTGGCACCTGGAAGTTGAGGCTGCAGTGAGCTGAAATCACACTGCTACAATCCAGCCTGTGTGACAGAGTGAGACCTGGTCTCAAAAATAAATAAAAATGAAATAATGGAGTCAATGTGCATGCAGAATGTGAATGGATCTGAAAAATAAAGTGCTAGAGAAAAAAGTAAAAAAACAGAATGGGCTATAAAACAGTACCTTCTATGTAAATTAAGAATGCATACAGTTCTGAGAAACTGTCACCACCAAGAGAAGTCTAAGGACAACTCTGAATAGAAAAATCGGTCAGGCGTGGTGGCTCACGCCTGTCCAGCACTTTGGGAGGCCGAGGCGGGTGGATCACCTGAGGTCAGAAGTTCAGGACCAGCCTGGTCCACATGGTGAAACCCCATCTCTACTACATATACAAAAATTACAGGCAGTCGCCTGTAGTCCCAGCTGCTCGGGAGGCTGAGGCAGGAGAATTGCTTGAACCCGGGAGGCGGAGGTTGCAGAGAGCCAAGATGGCGCCATTGCACTCCAGCCTGGGGCAATAAGAGCAAAAATTCATCTAAGAAAGAAAACAAAGAAAAGAAAGGAAAGATCGTAGCAGGTAAAAAAAAAAAAAAAAAGGCAGCAGTAAGGAAATCTGAAGAAAGCTGTGAATCTTAGTTAATGATAATGTGCCAATATTAGTTCATTAATGTAACAAATGTATCCTATTAATATTAATGGTGTTAATACAGGAAAACTGGGGAATGGGGTAGATGGAGACGCTGTACCATCTTTCCGATTTTCTTAAGTCTAAACTGTTCTACACAAATAAGTCTTTTTTTTATTTTTTTTTTTTTTCTTTTTATTTATTTATTTATTTATTTTTGAGACAGATCTTGCTCTGTCGCCCAGGCTAGAGGTGCAGTGGCCGGATCTCAGCTCACTGCAAGCCCGCCTCCCGGGTTTACGCCATTCTCCTTGCCTCAGCCTCCCGAGTGAGCTGGGACTACAGACGCCGCCACCTCGGCCCGGCTAGTGTTTTTTTGTATTTTTTTTTAGTGGAGAGACGGGGTTTCACCCGTGTAGCCAGGATGGTCTCGATATCTCTGACGTCGTGATCCGCCCGTCTCGGCCTCCCAAAGTGCTGGGATTACAGGGCTTGAGCCACCGCGCCTGCCTTTTTTTTTTTTTATCTTTCCAGAATGATGACGCCTTGGAATGACTGCCTGCGAGGTAGCAAGCAGAGCAGGGTCAGGGGGAGATTTAAATAGATAACCCAAGAGTTCTTGTGCAGACCAGTGATAGTAATATGCCAGGGTTGAAAAGTAGGGTAAACTCAACCCTTTGCATTCAAGGTCCCAACACTCATCATAATAACCACCTTTTGGAAGACAGAGACAACACTGCAAGACAGTAGGCCACAATGAGAGGTGGAGGCTCTGACAGGGAGGCTCTGACAGGGATGCTGGGGGAGGCTGCGCCACCTGGAGTAGCCTCATGCAAAAGTGTTGAGTGGCCTTGAAGCCATGGGTGGGGGCTGGGAGGGAGGAGTCTGGGACAGGAACAGGAACAACAACCCAGGACCCCAGTCTAACACTGGTCAGTCCCAAGAGCCATCTCTGTGCCCTCCAAAGCGGGGAACATCCGACAGAAACCAGAATGAAGCATGGTGGAGAGACGGGGGCAGTCGAGATGGGCAATGGTGTTGATTGTAGCATTAAGGGTGGACAGGACCGTTACATTTTAATTTCAAATCCACAGTGAATAATTTTTAGTGTACGTCCCCAATATTTCATTGTACACACTAAGGGAAAAAAAAGTATTCATTGTTGAACTGAAATTCAAATTTAACTAGGCATGCTGCATTTTTGTTTGGCTAAACCTGGCAACTGTAAATAATAATAACAGCAGTAATATTCATTGTTAAGTGTTCTAGGTACGTTATTTAGTTACCTTATCTCATCTTCATAATAACCCATTGAAGAAGGTACTATTATTATTATTCTCTTTTCTCTTTTTTTTTTTTGGAGACAAGAGTCTTGCTGTATCACCCAGGCTGGAGTACAATGGTGTGATCTCGGCTCACTGCAACCTCCACCTCCAGGGTTCAAGCGATCCTCCTGCCTCAGCCTCCAGAGTAGCTGCGACTACAGGTGCGCACCACCACACCCAGCTAATTTTTGTATTTTTAGTAGAGACAGGTTTTCACCGTGTTGGCCAGGCTGGTCTCAAACTCCTGACCTCAAGCAATCCACCTGCCTCACCGTCTGAGATGAATGCTGAGATTACAGATGTGAGCCACTGCACCCTGCCCTGTTATTTCCTTTTTATACACCAGGAAGCTTTACCAAAAGGATAAGGTAACCTGCCCAAGGTCATGAGCTAGTAAGTCAGGCCTGGAATGTGAACATATGTAATTGGCCTTAAGAGCTCACCCTCTTGAGCACTGCTTCCCAACTGAGCAGTTGAGTGAAGCCCTGGCCTCTGCTCCCTCAGACCCAACAACAGAGGTATGCACAACAGCTCCCACACTGGTAAGCTCCTGGAGCTCAGAATGCATCTTTACCATGGAGACACCATGTTAGCAGATCCCAGCTGGAGCCACCAAGTGAGCTTTGGGTTTCGAAAAGTGAAAATCAGCACTCCAACAGCAAGGAAGCCTAAAGCATCCCTGGGAGCACTCTCTTCCTACATGGGTGGAAAGCAGAAGAGTGTCTTCTGCCTTAAGGGTCTGGCAAAGCAGCACAGGCCAGCACCACCAGGCATGAGCCAGGCCACATGCCATTCTGCCTGAGGACAGGGGAAAGGAAAGGATGTATGACCTCTGGGGATCCCTTCCAGTTTGAGGAGAGCATTGACTTGAATCTTTTTTTTTTTTTTTTTTTTTTTGAGGCAGAGTCTCCCTGTCACCCAGGCAGGAGTGCAGTGGCACGATCTCGGCTCACTGCAACCTCCGCCTCCTGGGTTCAAGCGATTCTTCTGCTTCAGCCTCCCGAGTAGCTGGGACTACAAGCAAGCATCACCATGCCCACTGATTTCTTTGTATTTTTAATAGAGACAGAGTTTCACCATACTGGCCAGGATGGTCTTGATCTCTTGACCTCATGATCCTCCCACCTCGGCTCCCAGAGTGCTTGGATTACAGGCATGAGCCACCGCACCCAGCCAACTTAAATCTTATAAGGCAGACTTCTGATGAAAATGGCACCTCAAGCCTCAGCATGACACCTTTTAAAATCATCATGATAAGCCTTTATTAAGCACCTACTATGTACCAGACGTTGTGCTGGAATTTTCATTACCCCATCTAATGATGAGACATGTTTAAGTATAATCCAGCAAGGCATCTATTATTTTGCAGATAAGGGACCTGAGGCTCAGGGAGGTCACTCATATACTCAGCTGACACTTATTAAGCACCTATATGTGCCAGAGTCTGTCCTAGGTGCTGGGGATGTGCAGCGAACCAAACAAGATCTCTGCCTTTATGGAGCTAATGGGAGCACAGATTAAAAAACAAACATACAAAAAAAAGTCCATCATTGTTATTCCAGGTAGCAATGCTAAGTGTGATGAAGAAAAGCAAGGCAGGATTGAGGGACAGAGAGGGACGAGGTGGAGGTATTTTGGCTAGGATGGTCAGGGAAGATATCTGGAAGAAGATGACATTTGAGCAGGGACCTGAAGAGAGGGAATGTGATCCACAGGTCTGAGGAAGAGTGCCTAACGCAGAGAGGGCAATAGCACAAAGACCTGACAGGTCAAGGTGACCAGCCCACACCCAAGATGAGGCCCATGACCTGGAGAAGGGTAGGGAAGGTGGGAAGGGTAAGAATGAGTTTGGGGGAGATGGCAAGGGAAGGTCATTTTTAAAGGATCAGTGTGGTGTGGATGGATGGATGGATGGATGGATGGATGGATGGATGGGTGGATGGATGGGTGGATGGATGGGTGGATGGATGGGTGGATGGATGGGTGGACAGATGAATGGATGACTGGATGGATGGGTGGATATGTGTATGAACGGATTTCCATAGATTCCCTTACACTGACAGCAGGTGTGAGTATCCGTAGCTTAGAGGTTGATAAAATACGTCCAATGTCGCAACTGAGTTTCCAAATATATCTCAAATCAGCTCCCTCGGGGGTCCCAGACAAGCTCATTCCTTAGTGAAGGAGATTGATATAGAGGAATTTTATTCCAAAATTCAACAAGGAAACTAGGTCTTCTTCCCAAGGAAACCGTATGGAGAAGGCCACCAGATGTGGCCTGAGAATGTCAAGAAGAAATTTCTTGCCTTTAATGTCTAACTAGGCCAACTCCCAACTCCCAACTCCCAAAGAACAGATTGGCACACCACCATCACCCCACCACTACTACCTGGAATCCCCCAGGCAGGACCACTAGCAATACAAGACTGTTTCTAAAGTCCTTGGGCAAGAAAATCTGGTTTCTCCAGGCCCAGCACGGTGGTTCATGCCTGTAATCCCAGCACTTTGGGAGGCCGAGGCAGGCAGATCACGAGGTCAGGAGATCAAGACCATCCTAACATGGTGAAACCTCATCTCTACTTAAAAAAAAAAAAAAAACACAAAAAAAATTAGCCGGGTGCGGTGGCGGGCACCTGTAGTCCCAGCTACTCCGGAGGCTGAAGTAGGAGAATAGCAGGAACCCAGGAGGCGGAGCTTACAGTGAGCTGAGACGGGGCCAATGCACTCCAGCCTGGGTGACAGAGTGAGACTCTGTCTCAAAAAAAAAATTTAGAAGAAAGAAAGAAAGAAACTCTGGTTTCTCCAGCAGAAAAAAAGTCCACCTGCCGAATAAAGCCGAGGCTCTCTGTCATGTGCACTCTCACTAGGAGCCTGGTTCTGCGGTGCCACTCCATCTACAAGTCCCTGGCCACCCGCATGACTCACCTCCAAATCCTTCTCAAGCTCCAGTCCAGCCTCCATCAGATTGTGCTCAAATTCCTCCCGCTGCTCCTTCCTCTCCTCCTCCAGGGCATCGAGTGGCCCCAGCTCAATGTCACCTGGGCCCCCAGCATGAGGCTCCTTGCCTGTCTCCCCATTGGAGACGATAGCCAGCGAGTGGCCAGGGAAGCCTTGGGCCAGGTGCATCCCACGTTTCCGGTAGTGGTAGGCAAGCACATAGTCGACCTTCCTCTGATTGTCATGGAAGTGCATGCGGCTAAGACGGGCTTCCAAGGACACAGGCTCATTGGCATCCAGATAGTTGTTGATGACCTGGCCAGAGAGAAAGGAGAGGCAGGGCAAGGTCTGCTGAGTAAGGGCTGAGAGCAGAGGAGGCTGATCTATGCTCTGGGCTCAGGGAAATGGACTCAGAAGCAAGCCCCTCAGGCCCAGAGGCCCCCAGTGCCTCCAGTAAAAGGACCAAATGGCCTAAGTTAATCTGTCATGCCAGCTTGCAAAGCCCTCCACCCACCTGTTGACAGTCTGGGCACTGGTGCCTTCACACATGCTCCAGCATCCATGCACACACACACACTCACACACAGACTGTACCTGCAGCAGCAAACCCCTCACAACCGCACCTCCTGCCTCCACACAGAGCCACACGCCCACGCCTGCACACACACATGCAAGCACCTGCAAATGCACACACAGCCACCTCTACCCTTGTCTCCCTGCACCAGCACACCTGCACCATACAGGTGAAGGGGCCTGTGTACACATGTATCTACCTGAGTGCGCTCTAACACACACACCCCCTTCCACAAGCACCATGGCCCACACACACTCACCTCCTTGCAGATCTGCACCACTGCCTGCAAATACTGTACATATTTAAACACAGAATACTCACAGGCAGGTTCTCTGGATCCATTGGAACAAAGACCAATTTCTAGTCACCTGGCCTGCCCCCTACCCTCCCACCCACGGGAATTCACCAGGCACTATTCACAGCCCCACATCCTCCTCTCCCGCCACTGGTGAGGACCCTGTCAAAGACAGCAGCAGGGAACTGACTTCTGCTCTCTTCCATGCCAGAGGTGGGGAGGTGGAAAGAGGAGGAGGAGAGAGAACACGGTGAAGCAGGGGAGGGACCGGCCTCTCCCCGTGGGTGTTTCCCTGTTTATTACTGGTTTGAAACTCAGCTGCCTCTGCAGCCACCTGAGAGGTCACCTGGGCAACCAGATGAAGCTCCAGGCACAAGGGAGAGACTCAGAGCCACCATAGCAGAGAAGGCTCAGGCTTGCAGGAGGGGACCCAGGGGGTCTACAGACCAATTGGTGGCATCAGCTGGCCTCCCGTGCCTTCTCCTTTCCCGACCCTCCTCTGACCAGAACAGGGCACTGGGAAAGTGTGCCTGACTTGGAGGCAGAGGAGAAAAGGCCCTACCCAGGCCTCTCTCTTTCACTCACACACGTGCTCCTAACTGGAGGATGCCCTGGTCCAGAGGCTCCTTAGGGGCCTCAAACAGGGCCGGCCTGTCCCCCGACCCCACCCCTGCCCAGTACTCACAGAGCTGCTGCGGGCACTCTCTGGGCCGCAGGGCTGGCCAGGATCTCGGCTGGAACTGCCCTGCAGACCTGGGGCCCGGGGACCTGGCGTCTGGAGATACTGCTGTCCGTGTTTGGGGCCCTGGCCCTCTCTGGTCCCTGCCTGAGGGCTCAGCCGGCGTGGGGAGCCAGGGAGCAGGGGAATATCTGTGAGAGGGAAAGACAAGCGAGGCAAAACAGCCTCAGATAAAGGAAATCCAAGACACTGAGGTACTGAGTGTGCTCACACTAGCCCTGAGAAAATGGCCCATTTTGCTTCACAGCTGCCTCCTTGGTTAGTCCCTACAGCCCAGGTTCACACTGGCCACAGGGGAGGGAGCATGGAGAAGGAAGTGCAGCCCCCAGAATGCATACACACACACACACACATACACACTATGTACATACACACATACACATATACACTCACACACATACACATACACTCACACATACACATACACACACATACACACTATGTACATACACACATACACATATACACTCACACACATACACATACTCACACATACACACATATACACACTATGTGCACACACAATGTACACACACACACATACTCATACACGCCCACACACACATACATTCACACATATACACACATACACTCACAGCCATATACACACACACACATATACACACATACACACACACATACACACATACATATACACACATACACACACACAGCCATATACACACACACACACACACGGCCTGGAGCCACCAGCAGGAGCTCCTTCGGATCAAGGTTGTCACAATCTCTCATAATCCCCAGACAAGAAAGGGGTGGCATCGAGCAAGCCGGGGGGGGGCGGGGGGGCACTGCCTGGAGAGACACCTTGAATTAATACCAAAGGCTTAGGCTTTGGGCCTCTCCTGTAGGCAGCAGCACCAGCCGGCACCCTGGCCAGCCCCCACCTCCCTTGGGGAGAGAGCAAGGACAGACCAAGAGGGCCCTCTGAACGACGGAACAAAGGACTGTCCTTCAGTGTCCTTTCCGGGCCCTCATACACCTGCTGCCTCTACCCAGGCCCCAGAGGTCTGCAGTCCCTTCTCAGCACGAATGCAGGACCGCTTCAGAAAAAATCCAGTGTCGTCCCCTTAAGGGAAAGGTCCCCAGTAGGTGATGGAATGACCGCATGTTAGAATTGGAGGGAACTGAGGATCAGATACTCCAGCTGCACTTTGCACAGACCCCACTGGAATCGGTGAGTTGCCAAGGTCTCAGGGCAGGTGAGACTCAATCTATCCTCTCCTCTGAGAAACACTTCCTAGCAAAGCAGCAGGGCCAGTGCCCAGGCTGAAACCTCAGCTCTGCCACTGGCCAGCTCTATGACCTCTTTGTGCCTGTTCTCCAGCTGTAAAATGAGAATCTCACACTTGCAGGATTGCTGTGAGAATGAGAACAAGAGATAAGGCCTGCAAAGCATCCAGAGTGGTGAAGAGCCTGATGGCACGTGATCAAAGGCTGTGATTAGAATCGTCAGTGTTTGCATTTTAACCTCCAAGTGAGCAGAAGTAACACCTTATGCCTCCAACTCAGTCCTAAGCACCTGCTCAGTGAATGAACGAACAAAAGGCAACTCTTCCGATCTGCTGAAATAGAACTCCTGGCCCTTTGCCAACTTATGGAGCAGTCCCTTAGGTGCTCAGCCCTCCAACACAGTTTCAGGAGGCCTAGAATATTCGGTCCCTGCACTTGAGAAACATAATCTCTTTATGAAGATAGAGCTGACATGCAGGAAACACAGTTGTGACCAGCAGAGGAACGCTTTCATCGTTCCTTTCTATACTGTGGGCTCTAGTCCACACTGTGGGAGACCAGAAAGACTAGAAGTCAAAGCCGGCTTCTGGGGTAACTGAGCCGGAGCTGGGTCCTGGAGGGTGGGTAGCTTCTGAACGGCCGGGAGGCAGGGGAGGCACTCCCTAGGGAGACAGCACAGAAGGGCAGGCGTGGGCATGCCTTGTGGGAGGAAAACGAACAGTCAGGACCCCATATCACTCTGCCGAAAGGAAAATATTAAGCTGAAAGCTGAGTCAGGCAAGACGCTGCCTTTCCTTTTGTTCCTAAGCAGACAGCTGCAGATAAAAGGCTAGATAGCTCCACAGACAGCTACTCTATACTCACCTTGTCCAAAGCGCAAGACGAATACATCATCATCAATTCCCTAACTGCTCCTTTTCTCTTGCAACACGCAGATTCCCACAGACTCCTCCTTTCCCCAACAGCCTGCTCTTCCCCATTAAATACTGAAGCCCTCAAAATTGTCTTTGGAGAAAGACACAGACCTCTCTCCCAACCACATCCTTAATGTTGGCAAAATAAACTAAATGGATTGAGGCCTGTCTCAGATATTTCTTGGTTTACATGTGATGGGGATCAGGCTCAGGGCTCTAAAACAGGGGCTTCCTCCCTTGTGCTCCATCTTGCCTCCTCCCACTTCCCTTGTGCCTTTCTGCATACCTGCGCCCCCAAGTGCCTGAGAACAGAACTTGGAACCGAAGGACTCTACCCCAGAGAAGACCTCGAAACCTCTAGATGCATGTTTAAAAAGCTCAAGACCACTGGATACGTCATGGGGGAAATGATAAAGATGGATGTTCACTCAAGGGCCACCCTGCCCTGGCAGCTACATTCAAATTTGCACCCGTGGCTCAGAGTAGCTCAGATTCAAGGGCAATCCAAAGCTTTGGTCCGGCTGCTGTCCAGGAACCACCATCCCCTAAAGGTGCCACCTGGAGTTTGAGGCTGACATTCAGGGCCCTCACTAGCCATCGCAGTCGCTCCCCCAGCTCGCTCTCTGACACACAGATCTGGCTGCCTGGGGACTCTGCTTCCCTTCCCTCCCTCTCCCCGCAAGTGATTAGAGCACAGCACACGGTTCAGCCACCCCAGCCGTCCCAGCTCGGGAGAGGCACTCCAGGCGATAAAGACACAAGGGAGCCAGCTTCAGACGTGAGAGGAAGGCCAAGGGGAACGTGAATGACGCCTGCCCTCAGGAAGGGTGGGGCAGGTAAGCATACACCTCGAGAACTCCCTAAGCAGCTTAGAAGAGGTGAATGAGGTCAATGAGAAGGAAAGGCCATCGTACACAGCCTGTGGAACATGTCACCCATTTGGGAAGAATCTTTCCTTCCATCACCATTGCCTTGGCTCTCCTTCCACGCTGCCTTGAACAACAGATCCTTGGGTGTTCGTGACCGCAGTGCCATGAGGGTGGGGGCATGGCTTACCCATGTCTGGATTGAGGAGATGGATGTTCCAAGGCTGGGGCCTGGGCCTTTCTCCACGTGCCAGCTCTCTCCCTGGGCACTCAATCACTCCACAGACCTTCATTGTCACCTATTGCTGACAACATCTGCAGGCACCAGGTCCACACATTCCCCTGCCTGCTCAGCGTCTACACTTGGATGTTTCCCAGCCCCTCAAAGTCAACATGTCCAAATCCAAACATATGATCTTCAAAACAGGATTCTTTTTCAGCATTTCCTGCTCCTGCAAATGCTCCACCAAACATTCAGTCGACGTGCCGGAAATCTAGAAGCAGTCTTGATAGTCATTCTTCCTCATGACCCGTATCCAATTTGATATCAATCCTATAAACTTTACCCCTGAAATATCTGCCAAACTCTTCTGTTCTTCACCCCTCTATAGTCCCACCCTGGTCCCACCCTACTGCCAGCTCTCAGTCTCCTTCACCATTAGGAGGATGGTGATGCCCTCCTAACAGGTCTCCCTGCTCCCTGTCCCCGTTCCCCACGAGGCAGCCAGGGGTCCTTACAAAACATCCATCTGGCCATGACACCCTCAAGAGCAGAAACTTATGGGGCTCCCATGGCTTTCCGGCTGGGACCCTGCATACTGCCCCCCCCAGTCTCCACCCCCTCGCTCCTGCTGGCTCCCTGGGGTCCGCCATACAGCTCTGCTCTAGCACACCATGCTCCCCAGCCCAGCATCCTACATGCATTCTTCCCTCTGCCTGGACCATTCTTCCCTACACACTCCTCAACTAGTTGTGGGCCACCTATTTTTTTTTTTTTTTGAGACGGAGTCTCGCTCTGTCGCCCAGGCTGGAGTGCAGTGGCGAGATCTCTGCTTACTGCAAGCTCCGCCTCCTGGGTTCATGCCATTCTCCTGCCTCAGCCTTCAGAGTAGCTGGAACTACAGGCACCCGCCACAACGCTCGGCTAATTTTTTTTTTTTTTTTTTTTTTTTTTTTTAGTAGAGATGGGGTTTCACTGTGTTAACCAGGATGGTCCCGATCGCCTGACCTCGTGATCCGCCCGCCTCGGTCTCCCAAAGTGCTTGGATTACAGGCGTGAGCCACTGCGCCCAGCTGGGCCACCTACTATTCTGGTCCTTAGGGACCCAGAAAATCCAAAGCAATCCATTCTTGTTTCAAAAAGCTGCTAATCAAGGTGTAAGACCAGAATATTCAGCTACTACTAGCAAAGCTAATTTCCTTCCAACCTAGACACGAGTAAGGTTCCACAAGCTGGGTGGTGCAGGATTGGGAGGAGGTGCAGGCCACGAGGACCCATGTGATGTTGTCGGAGGAAGGCCTCACCACCAGCACCCTGCCCCAAGACAAGCCCTTTCTCTGAGCTTAGTTTTTACTTCCATGATTGGGGAAAGGGGGTCATTATTATATGTTTTCCTCATAAAGTGGGTGTGATGATACAGTAAGAGAAAAGATTAACACTCCTTGGCAGTACATGAGCTATGAACAATGCACAGGATAATTATCAAACCCTACTTCCTCTGTAGGGTGAGAAGAGACCTTGGAACAGACGGACTCTACCCCAGAGAAGACCTCAAAACCTCTAGATGCACGTCTAAAAAGCTCAAGACCACTGGATACGTCACAGGGGAAATGACAGAGATGATGTTCACTCAAGGGCCACCCTGCCCTGGCAGATGGAGGAGGTGCTGCCTCCTTCATCCGTCTCTTCTCCACTTCATTCCAGTTGCTCTGCTTCAAGTCCCTGGAATTCCCTTTCTCTCCCAGCCCACTGCCTGCTCACCATCCACTTCTTCCTGGAAGCTTCCCCAGACTAAGCAGGAGAAGCACTGGCTGACTGTCCCCACCATTAGTACAAGTGGATTTACTCATCAGGGATGACCACACTCTTTTTAATCCTTC